GGGATTCGTGCCCGACCCTTTGATTTGGGCGGAGGCGAATGCATGGACTCTGCTTGGTGATCTCTCCTAGTCCTCTTGGGTTGTGAGGAATGCTGGTTCCGAGGAGAAATGTGGTCGCGCTTTCTGACGGTCTGGGTTTCTGGCCCCGGAGGCGTCCGACGATTTCTTTCACGTCGAAGAAAGGGACTCTATGGTCATTGACGTTCTTTCCTCAACATAGGGGATCTTAGACGATTGGATTCTTCTAATAAGGCTCCAACCCTTGCGCTTTAATTGAGGATTAGAAGGTTGGTCTTGTTGAGAACCTCGAGGAGGACGGTCATGGCGGGGTCGACGCTGGGCGGAACTGGAACTGGCAGGTCCTCGACGACTGAGACCTCGTTGTGATATGCACGAACGGGGGATAGAGAAACGGTGGCTCTGCCCCTTTGTCGGAGGGTGTCGCCCCCGAGAGAGGTGACTGCTTTGTTAATACCAATCTTGCTGACGGGGATGAAAGCAGAGTTATGAGCATCATGAGTGTTGGCCATGATCGGGATTTTGGAAGAATTGTTTTGATCTCGGATCTATGAGGGGAGAAAAGACGGGGATAACAGGTTTCCCTTAGACGGTGCCACTGATCTTACGGTTGATCAGAACCTGAAGTGGACCAAAGATAAATGTCTGCGATGCTGGGTGTGAGAGAGGAGGAACAGGGTGTACCTACAAGGCACTCTGATGCTAAAGTAAGAATCGAGAAAAGAAGGCAAGTACATAATATGTGTGTATCAGAGTGAGTATTAAATACCCTACCCTCTCAAATGAGATGGTTTTTATAATGCCCCAAGCGCTTGGCCATTGGTCCCTATTTTCGGGGCGAGATAATCATTTCCTGAAGAATAAGTAACTGCCAAAACTAGCTGTTGGAACGGGCAAAGGTGCGCATAACTAGTCGTTGTTATAGGTAGGGGCGAAGTTACGGGCACAAGCGTATTGACTGTTTCTGGATGGTGGAACCGTGTGTGACAGACAAATCCTTTCGAGGATGAGTGTTGGCTTAGGGGTAAACTAGTCAACCTCCCAAGTTAGAGGGGCAAGAAGGTAAATATCTTTCCCCACTTGGCTAGACTTAGGCAATTGGATCGTTCTGGAAGCATAACCGGATTGGGCCATGACTAGCCATTGGGTCAGTCCGGAACAATTTTTTATTTCAATTATACCCTTATTTCAATTTTTTATTTCTGGCCCACGCAATTGATTTTAAAAAATTGAATTTATAGAGATTTTAAAGAATATCATAATAAATTTTTACTATTTTTCTTTACTTTACTGGACATTATTTTCATTTATTAAATATAAATTATATAATTAATTTAGGAATAGTGTTGATAGTTCTCAAGTTAGTGAAACATTAGGAAAATCAATGAAATCAACAAAGGTGAAGAAAATTCAGAATATTATTGCAGTTCTATTGTAAAATATTAGACAATAAACTTATTTTTATTATTATTTTATATTAATATAACTAAATTCAAAATTACAATGTTATTATTTCACGTATTTTATTTAATTTTATTATAAAATTAGAAGAAAAAAAAATACGTTTTACGAAAGAATGAGCTAACGAAACCAAAAATTATAGTTATTATGATTACTTTTACTTTTATGTCTTTATAAATGACTTTATAAAATACCTATGCTTCATGTATGATTTGGTGGTTCTTTATTCATTGAATTTCATTGTCAATATATTCATACTAAGTAGCAAAGCTCATAAAAATTATATACAAATTTATATATTTTGAAGATATCTTCAAATTTTCATATATATTAAGATTGTTTTTCATATATATTTATTTTTATCCAATAAAAATTAAATTAATAATATAATATAATAAGATAATGAAATCACCAATTTCTTAATTAAGAATGTCATTTTAGGTTATTTTGTAATTATCAGCTAGTGCAACAACTAATTTACCAAACATTCAAATTAACTTATCAACTACTAGCCACGAGCTACCAGCTACTAGCTATCAACTACTGGCTATCAACTATAAGCTAGTTTTACTAAACAGAGTCATAGTTGAAAGAAAAATTTCTTCCACTAGTGTAATGGTTTGAAGAAAAATAAATTTAATATTGAGAGTTATGAATTGAATTTCGACTAAACTTTCTCAATTTAACATTAATTTTGGCATGTCCGATGAGATGGTGCGACCAAAACCAATAGAAGTTTTCAATCAACAAGTTACAATTACATTTAGCATATGCATTTGTGGTATGGTAAGAAGTAAGAACCCAATAATATGGATTAACCATTATCTACATGGATGTCAGACTAACAACGATCAGATAAACTTTCACATTTAATGGGTGTTGCCAACGATTATGCCTTTTCTCATTGTATCTATATGTGTGGCGATTGAGGTTACATGACATTGTGTATCAGGTATTTCAACAACTCATTAATATTATAATGCATGAGACTGATAACGAAGTCCAAAAAGACAATGAGTTAGAGACCAAAAGAGTCAATTCATGTAATTGTTCTGTCAAATCAACAAGTCAAGCAATTCAAAGAAGCCAGAGTAAGGCAAACGTTGTTATTTAAAGTCAGACAACTTATATGACAGTAAGGTATTTCCAAGTCCAACTTATATGATGCTCTCAAAATTCGCATATTGAATATTCTTAACCATCACTTTATCTCATGGATTCATAACTCCTAAAAATGTTAGAAAAAGACCTTTAAATAACAATTGTTGCATGTTAGCAAAAGCGCGTCATCGTGCCACAATGCTTCTCCATCGCACAACGACGTGACATCATCGTGCCCATGATGTCAGTATCACGCACGCGAGAATTCTAGAGGCCAAAGCTTTGTTTTTTCACTTTCTTTTTCTCAGTATTTTCACTAAGTCTTTATTTCTTCCTTGTGATATATTTTTGCTCAATTCTTCACACTTTGGCATGGCTTTTGCTCGTTAATCTTCCAATTTCATTCGAATTTTCTCATGAAAATCACGTAATGATGACTGTCATCATAATGATAATTTTAGGTGTGCCCCAAGTTTGTTTTATCGGGGCCCACTGTACTTGTAAAAAAGTACAGATGCGTGACACCCCTATGCTGGTAGGGCTGACTCGAGGCTTTAAGGGTTTTCTCTAGTTTAGGGAAAACTCACGTTTGTGAGAAATCCTGTTTGGTGGTATTTTTAGTATGGAGTGAGTAAGCTTACGTGAGGTGAGAAACTTTGTATTTTTGGGGTGTTTCATGTGTATTCCAAATTGTCCCACCTTAACCCCAATGTTGAGGTATTTATAAAGGCTTTAGGCTTAGATTGGGGGAGGGGGACCCTTGGGAAGTAATAACCACCCCACTTTGATTAGAGAAGTTGTTGAGTGTTTACTTCTTAGAGAGTTGTGACCAGGACTTTCAGTACATGCAATTATAGGCAATGTACGTGTCATCATCCATGTTTCCATTTAGGGTGAGCCACCTACAACGTGAAGGTTAGGTTAGGCGACATACTCTGAGGTGGGCGCCTGGTGGGGATAGGTCTCGTGCTACCTCTTATACGGGTCTTTACAAATACATGACAATAAAGCATGTCCGACTTCTTAACTGGTCTCAGAAAAACATCTCGCCCTTACGCGACTTATGCTTAAAGGACAATATGCATGCCAAACTTCTCGTTAAGACCTACAAAAGTTGCACCTTTACACGAATCATGCTTGAGAGGGCTATATACATGTCCAGTTTATTTGTGTGTTTAAGGAAAACATTTCTTCCTTATACGACTCATGCTTGAGGAACTCTGTACATGTCCGACTTCTTAGCTTATTTTAAAAAAGCATTTCTCCATTACATGTCTCGTGCTTTAAAGGTTGTGTACATGTGCGATTGTTTTAGGCCGGGTAGCCCAAGCTGGAGTGGGTTCATCCCAAAAATAACATAACTTATCCCGATTGATAAGACATTATTAGGAGAACAAAGCCGAGTTGAATGAGCTGACGAACCAAGTTGGTCATGTCAACCTAAGGCTAACATGAAGCAATATTCAATTGAGATTTGATAGAGAACATATTTATTCATGATTGGGAACATCATAGCTAGTGATTTGGGCAATCAAATCTGATTTCCATTTACGATTAATAGGTCTTACGAATCAAGGACGATCACACTAAATTGTCCATGGTAGAATTTCATGTGGGACGAGTCAAAATTACTATATAAGAGGAAAAATACAAAGAGAAAGAGATACACAAATCATAAGAGCTTTCAGCCGTGACTTTAAATAAAATTATCATTGACATACTTTTAAATAAAAATCTATTTTATTTGATTGAATATCACAAATTTTTTATATATTATAAAAAATTTAAATTAAATATTAAAAAGAAAGATGTATCTTAAATATAATCTATATGAAAAATTATTTAAAATAGATTCAAATTTAATTGATATTTTAAAATTTGATATACAAGAAATTGCATTAAAAAAAATTAAAAAAAAATTAAAAAAAAATTATTTAAATATATTTTTTATTTAATTTTAAATTCTTTTCAAAATTTTCTCAAGTAAAAATACATTACATTATAAAAATCATGTTTAAAAAAACTTAAAAGCAACTCACCAAATTAAATTAAACCAAGACCCCTTAAATCTTTAAAACCTCTCAAAAAAAGTCTTATAAGTCTGTTAATTAGAAAAAGAAATGTTTAAGCAATGTTAGGGTTCGCCGAACACAGCCGTTTCAAGAGCGGGGGATTTTTCTGCAATATTGAAAACTGTACAATAATATCCTTGTAAGCCTATTTTATTACAATATTACCCTGAGATTGCCCATGTCCCCTGCTCTCACTATACAGACGGAGGCAGGCACAAACAAAAAATCGTTCTAAACCCCAAATAAACCCTTTCATCACCGCCGCCGTCTCACACTCTGCACCGTCGCCGTCTCTCTCTGCACGTCACCTTGCGTCAGAAAGATATTGCAGCTGTATCACGGTGCGTGATGGAGAAAACTCACGACAGTGAAGCTCTTCCAAACAGCAAGCCTTCCACCGAAGAGGTAAAAAAAAAAACTCACGAACCCTAGTTTCTCTCTTCCTATATTGCACACCGGTTAATTGCTAGTATCCATTACTTGTAATTTGACGAAACTTGTAAGCGTAACGAAAGAAAAAAAAGTGAACTATGCCTTTGAATGGATTGGATCTTACTCAACTAACTGCTATTAAGATTTCGAACTCAGCTTTCAGAGTTAGGAATTATCATTGGTTCAGTCCATTTCGTGATTGTCTAGTTTTATTTATTTCATTATATTTAAATTATTATGTTAAGATGGAGCATGCTTCTTATTTCCTACATTGCTTTGCAGGACATTATTGATGAGCTAAAATTGAGATCAAAGAAGTATCTCAGAGGAGAAGGTGCTAATTTGAAGGTATTAAGCTTTGAGTTAATTGAAATTGAAACATCGCTTCCCGAACGATGCTGAGTTTGTTGTTTAACCTTAATTAATTAATTTGTGAACTATGGTTTACAGGGTTTAAAGGATAAAAAGCTTAGGAGTCAGTTAGTTGCTAGAGAGAAATTATATGGAGAATCTGCGAAAGCCGCTGCCAAGGCTGAGAAAGTTAGTTATTTTTAATTTGGCTTTCCTGTTTGCTTAATTTAACTCATCTTTGTTTTTTTATGTATCATGCTCGAGTGAATTCTTTTAAAATGTTTTTTTATTGAGTGGATGTTGCTGATAAAGGATAATCAAATGTGTGAAATGTTTGATGTGGTATACTTCATTGCATATTTCAGTCTGTGTTTAATTGCCTTTGTGGTGAATTATTGTCGAGCCTGGTCAACTTCAATATTTGTTGGTACAGCTTTACTTTATAAAAAATAAAACTGAAAAAATTGATGCGAGGAGAATTTTATTTAATGCGTTACATCAAAATTTGATACTTTAAGGATGATTACTCAAACACTTTGACAGTCAATATTAACATTTTGACAGTCAACATTAACATTTTGACAGTCTTCACGGTGCCGGAACTAGATATTCTAAATTAACTCTGATTTACTTTAGATTGGTTTAATTAGTGTTGAGAACCAAGTGGTCTATTGGGTTTTTGAGAGATGGTAGTGACACATTGTGAAAAAATATTTGATCTTGTGTAATTTGTGATCATTGATGTCAGTTTTTTTATTAGCTATTTAGCCATACCGACAGTTACATGGTTTATGTAGCGGCTTTCTAATTTTGATTATGCAGTGGATTTTGCCTAGTGATCAAGGTTATTTGGAGGCTGAAGGCATAGAAAAGACGTATAGGATCAAGCAGGAGACAATAGCCCGTGAAGTCGATATTTTAAGCTCAAGGAACCAATATGATATTACTTTACCAGGTACTTCTAATTATTGCTTGTTAATAGTATCTCACTATGATGCAAAGTATGGGTACGAAACCTGTTACAGGTACAAGTATGGGATACAACATTAAAAAATGCTATGGGTTTTGTCAATAAAAAAACAAGAGTTTATCTATAAAGATGAATAAGGGTAGGAATGACATTTAAGTATTATACAGTATATGCTAAAAATGGATAAGGGAAATGCATTTTTATATGTTAAGAAAATATAAAATGACATTTGAGTATCACACTCACAATAAAAATTACCCAATTCCTTGCTGTCACACTGGTAGAGCTTGAGTTATTAGGGATTAAAAGGGGTTAAACAAGAACAAAAAAGGCGAAAGAAGGAACAAGAAAAGAGAAAGAACCAATGAATAAAAAACTTTCTATTATTCTCTCAAAATGACAGTTTGTTACACTTTACAAAATGAATGAGTCCCTATCACAATGAGACTCAATTATTATTTATACCCTGCCTAGTCTTACTAACATACACGTTCTTAATGGGTGGCCTATATGGGTAATGTGGGACCCTAACAATACCTCCCTCCCCAACCTTAAACTTGTCCTCAAGGTTAAAATGTCGAAATTGCTGCTTAATCATGTCCTCCTCTTCCAAGGTGGCCTCATCTTCGGATCTCTGCCGCCTGACAACTAGAACTTGCCGGATAAACTCATCCCCTCTCTTGATTTCTCGTGTAGCCAATACTTTGTCCGGAACCACCACCTCATCATCCACTTGCAGTTCATGTGGAAAAGAAGGCTCTATAGCTTGCTGTCCCACAGCCTTTTTTAACTGGGACACATGAAACACTGGGTTTACTCTAGTAGTTATGGGTAATTGCAGTTTAAAAGCTACTGACCCCACCTGCTTGAGCACCTTAAATGGCCCATAGTATCTAGCCGCCAATTTTGGATGTAACTTCTGACCCAAGGTAGTCTACCTATGAGGTCTGATTAAATACACCCAATCTCCAACAGCCACTGTGGATTGCCTTTTATGCTTATCAACATGTTTCTGCATTTGCTCCTGAGCACACAGCATATGTTCTTTCAACTGTTTCAAGACTTCATCCCTGTCCCTTAGGTCTTGAGCCACTGTTTCTACAAGGATCTCACCAGGTATAAAGCGGGAAATAGAGGGTGGTGCTCTCCCATATACTACAAACGGGGTAGTACCAATTGAGGTCTGGAAACTGGTGTTGTACTAGTATTCCACCCAATGAATAAAATCTCTCCAAACCTATGGTTGCTCAGAAGAAAAACAACATAAGTAGGTTTCCAACACCCTATTAATCACTTTAGTTTGACCATCAGACTCTGGATGGTAGGCTGTACTTATATGCAACTGAGTTCCCTGCAGTTTCTACAACTCTTGCCGAAAATTGCTCATGAAGGTAGGGTCCCTGTCACTCACAATCGACACTGGAACTCCATTAAGTTTGACCACTTCCCTTGCAAAAACATCGGCTGAAGATCTGGCTGTATAGGGATGTTTCAGAGGTATAAAATGAGGGTATTTGCTCAATCTGTCGACCACGACCCAAATTGTATCATAACCCTTAGATTTCGGCAAGTTGGTTATATAATCCATGCTAAGCTCCTCCCAAACAGCATGAGGAATAGGTAAAGGCTGTAGCAAACCTTGTGGAGAGGCAGCCAAATACTTACTGCATTGACAGACATGGCATTGAGCTACAAACTGTGTTACCACACTTTTCATCCCCTTCCAATATAAAGACTGAGCAAGTCTTCTATATGTTCTAAATATTCCAGCATGCCCACCAGTTGGTGTCTAGTGAAACTCTTGTAATAATCTAGGTATCCATACCGACTTAGAAGCCAAAGCCAACTCGCCTTTGTAATGTAGCCTACCATTTTCCAGAGTAAGATAAGGGTGAGCATTAGGCTCATCCTGCAAAACCTTTAGAATTTTTGACAAATCTGGATCAGCCTTAACTTCCTCTCCTAGTTTAGCATAGCCAGGCCAAATCGTCTTAGTCAAAACGAAATAATCAAACAATTTCTCATCTCTTCTGGATAGAGCATCAGCCACCTTGTTATGCACTCCTTGTTTATACAGAATATCAAACTCATAACCCAGCAGTTTGGCCAACCAATTTTGTTGGTTTTGAGTAGTAATCCTTTGATCAAGCAAGAACTTTAGACACTTTTGATCCGTAAACACTGTAAACTTCCTGCCCAAGAGATTCGGTCTCCAATATTGAATAGCCAGAACCAAAGCCATTAATTCTTTTTCATCCACTGATTTACTCAAAGAATTGACCTCTGATCCTGAGTGAGAACAGCACCCAAACCCTTGCCAGAAGCATCACACTCTATAGCAAAATGGTTTAGAAAAATCAGGTAAAACCAACACAGGGGCTGTTGTGAGAACAGCACCCAAACCCTTGCCAGAAGCACCACACTCTATAGCAAAATGGTTTAGAAAAATCAGGTAAAACCAACACAGGGGCTGTTGTCACCGCCAACTGCAATTTCTGGAAGGCTTCCGAAGCTGCTGCAGACCAAACCCAACCTCCCTTTTTTAAAAGTTCAGTTAAAGGTTTGTCTATCTTTCCATAGTCTTGAACAAACCTTATGTAGTAACCGGTTAAACCAAGAAAATCTCGGACTGCCTTGACTGATTTAGGGGCTGGCCATTGTAAAATACTCTATTTTTGAAGGATCCATAGCTACTCCTTCTCTTGTAATAATATGAACCAAGTACGTGATTGTTTTTGTCCAAAACTACACTTTTTGGCATTAGCATAGTATTGGGCCCCTTGTAGCAAACCCAATACTATATCTAAATGAACCAAATGATCCTCCCGGCTCCTGCTATAAATCAGAATGTCATCCAAAAAGACCAACACAAACTTACGTAGTAGGTACGGTGGCAATAAGGTTTTCATGGCATTTTGGAAAGTTGCCGGTGCGTTTGTCAAGCCAAACGGCATCACTAAAAATTCACAGTGACCTTGGGGAGTCTGAAAGGCTGTCTTGTGTATATCATCCTCATGCATTCTGACTTGATGATTACCAGATCGCAAGTCAATTTTGAAAAAAATTTCAGCACCTTGCAACTCATCAAGGAGTTCTTCAATTACGGGCATAGGGTACCTATCTGCTGCAGTAGCTCGATTCAAAGCCTTATAATCAACACAAAACCTCCAACTCCCATCCTTATTTTTGACCAAAATCACTGGACTAGAAATCCCTTCCTCTGCACATAGAGACAACTCCAGATTGTTACCGAACAATCCCTCAACTGCCACTTCCTCTTCTTGAATAGAATACAGCTGGTTCATGGTAGCATCCCCTTCCCCCCATTCATCTTCGCCCAAAATCAGAACCCTAAGATTTTTTGCTGCACATCGATGACCCGGAGCGAAGGATTCATTGGAACGATAGCAAAGGTTAGCCTCTTCGCGACGGAGGGACTCTTGGTAAGGCATTTGATGAGCGCTGCGATACCTGGTGCTTGAATTCCCAGTGCTGGGGTTGTGTTGATGGGATGTATTCTGTCTGATCCCAATCGTTACCTTCGAATCTGGCAGTGTTAGATTTTTCTGTGCGTTAGGATTTTCCTTACTGAGCGCAACGTTTGTCTTGGAAATCGAAGGTGATTGAGTCAAGAAACGTGTGCCTGTGCACAAAATGGAACTACTTCCATGCGTTCTTGAACCAAGAACTGATTGTGAAACTCAACCATGCTTCCTCCAAGCTTCTTGCTAAATCCATCACCTGCACTAGATCTATGGGATTGTGAATTCTCACTTGACACAGCAATTCCAATCGAAGTCCACACAGAAAATTCCCAAGCAATTGTTCCTCGGACATGGGTCCCACCATAGTGATCCAGATTTCAAATTCTTGAATGCAACATTCCAAATCATCTTCTTGCTTCAATAATTTCAATCTTTCGGAGACATCGTCACACACCTAGTCTCCAAAATGACGAATCAGAGCAATTGTGAAAGACTCCCCAGAACCAAACAAATTTCGTTGACGCCAAAAACGAAACCAGTGAAGTGCCGAACCCTCCATGCTGAAGAACGCCAATTGCAAGCGTTCACCCTCTGAAACTTGCTGAATGTCAAAGATTTTTCAGCACGAGCGACCAACCAATTGGGTCAGTACCATCGAACACTGGCAGTTCAACCTTGTGCCATTTTCGCTCCACTGTGGACGAAGGATCAGTGACTATCGAATGGTTGCTTCAAAGGATCCAATTTCTTTTCCCAGTTGATTCTCTGAGTTGTCGTAAAGGTTCTGAGTAAACCATTCGTGTCTTCTAATGTTGTGATACTGTGGTCGAATTTCTGCATCTGGGCTGAATGTTGCAGGGCCATCTCTCGCACTTCTATAATGGCAGATTCAATAGCATTGATGCGTTCTTCCATGGCAGGTTGGACCAAATTGGTAGAGCTTGAGTTATTAGGGATTAAAAGGGGTTAAACAGAACAAAAAAGAAGAAAGAAGGAACAAGAGAAAGAACCGATGAATAACAGACTTTCTATTATTCTCTCGAAGAGGAAACCCTTTCTCAACTGTAATAACAGTTTGTTACACTTTACAAAATGAATGAATCCCTATCATATTGTTATATATACCCTGCCTAGTCTTACTAACAAACACATTCTTAATGGGTGACTTATATGGGTAATGTGGGAGCCTAACACTAAAAATTGCCCAAGTCCTTGCTGTCATCTGAAGTTCAATTTAACAGAGGCAAGAAGTTCGTGCTTCTATCCATTATAGCCATGAGCATTGTTGTTGTTTTTCACAAATCTATGAGATATGTTTGGGAAATAAGAAAAAGTATCAATGTATTTTGGCCAAATCAAAGATGCATGAGGGACAATGATAAACATTCAACTCAACATAATTAAGAATAAAGATAAAAAATAGAGTAAAGAGCTCAAAACAGTTTTTAATCACCTTTTAATAGAAGAAAATCAGCTACTCATAATTAAAAATCTAAGAAAAATAGAAAGAATGTCAATAAATTTTTAAGCTCCCCTTCCAGTCATCTTTTTTCCTCTGCCTCCTCCCTTGAAAACCCCCCTTTCTTCCTCTCCTGAATATGGTGTTTGATTTCTCTAATGTCTAGTGCTTGGGAAGTTAGAATGTGAGTGTCCGGTGGTTTGAATTCCATTTCTAGATCAACCAATGCATAGACAGACACTGTCTCCCCAGTGCCCGAGTGTTAGAAGTTGACATAAGCATTTAGTTTTTGCCCCAATAAATGCTGAAAAATTTAAATAAATGCTTAAAAATGCTAAGCTATCAAATTAATGAAATAAAAGTGAAGTGAAATGCAATAAGAACTCTCAAAAATTTAAAATGAAATATTCAATTCCCACACACAAGTTTATTTTCCTTTTCTGTCCTTAAATGACGGAGAGCCCAAGTTACCTGATTGCAAAACCAAACTTTTGTACAAGAGGTCAAATAGACTTTTCGTTTTCAATTCAAGTACACATGACTTCAAAACAAACTTGATTTCAATAACTTAATGAATTTAAAGCAAATCTGATTTCAATAACTTCATGAATTGTTGGGGTACATCGCACATGACATTAGAAGCATGATATATGAAGTTTATTTCCGTTCTCTGTACTCAAATGTTGGAAAGTCCGATTTCTAGCTGCAAAAAGGGGAGATTGGCTCTCCGCAATCAGTTCAAGTGCATAAGAATTTGTAAGCAAATAACTAGCTTGTAGTTGCTCGTTTACTTATCAAGATAAAACAAACATCTCTTAGGTTCGTTGCTCGTTAATGTTGACTTCTATTATTGATAAGTCTTCACTTAAAATACTTTAAAATGACTTCAATGTCACAACAAATTGTTGAAGCAATATGCTTATCATTTTTAGGATTGCAGAAAAGTTGATGTTTACTTGATATATGCTTGATTTAATACTTTTCTTAAGATGATAACCTTTCTTTTGGGCTTATCCTTGTAATAGTTTAATACAAGTTTGGCTTCCATGTCTCTTTTAAATATCTTATCCCATCTCAAGATATACTGATGCACAGAACCTTTTTTCACTAGAAGAATTTTGTTCTCTCAATATGTCATTTATTTTATTTTTCTGCAATAAATATTTGCAGAGCTTGGTCCATATACTCTAGACTTTACTTCAAGTGGCAGGCATATGGCCGTTGGTGGTCGTAAGGGCCACCTAGCAATTGTGGACATGATGAATCTGAGCCTGATCAGAGAGCTTCAGGTATACTTAATCAATGCCGGCCTTCCATTTGTTTGGTTTTATTAGATGTTTAATTTTATATTCTTTACTGGCGATACTCGTCATGCCTTCTTTAGATGTTGCTGATTTTCAGAAGCTACTATTTTTTAGCTACTGAGAAACATCTAAACAAAAAATTGACTTTGAGGTTTATTTAGAAACATCTAATTATTATAACTACTTTTAATCATACATTTTAAGTAAAAGTTTCACTTTTTTCACACACTTGAAACAAAAAAGCCCTTCATCTAATGTCGGAGAGAAATGGTTGCATTTTACTGTTTATTTATTGAGTATTTCGTGAAATTGTTATTGGATTTTAATATTTGGTTTTTCAGGTAAGAGAAACTGTGCGTGATGTGGCATTCTTACATAATGAGCTCTACTTTGCTGCTGCCCAGAAAAAGTAATTTATCATCCCTGGTTTGCTGTTGTACTGTTTATCTATAAATGTTTGGTTCTTTGTTGAATGGGTCCGTAGAATTTAGGAAATAAGAGTAGCTCAGGGGGCTAAGCAGGGAAGATTTATAAAATATGTTACACTTACATAGACTTAATAAAATGTTTGGGGGCAGAGGACCTCAATGCATATGTCATGCCACTCCTTTGCATGTTATTCATGCTTTCTGACTCTTGGATGTGTCTTGGATCCCAAAATATTGCATTTTGCATCACTTATGTTTCTTCGTACGAAACTCCTAGTGCTTTTGATTTTACGTAAAGTTTGAAATGCTATTACAGAAATTGGGGCTATTAAGATTTTACTTGTCTTCCTTACTTTGTGGTAGGAATGCGAGCTTAATAATCAATGTAAACCTTTTAAGATTGTTTGTTGCTTGATATTTGCTATCACTTGGAAAAGTTGATTAGACTGTTTTCCCCAATAAAATATTATATGTACATTATCTGTGTTGAATGACTTAATAGTTTTCAAAATTTGACAGGTATCCATACATATATAATATTGATGGCACAGAGCTTCACTGCCTAAAGGTTTGTTAATTGCTTCTGTAATATTTTAAAATTTAGCCAATATGATGTCAATGTTTCTACATATTTTGATAGCTAAATATGTTTTTTAGAGTCAAACCATCCAGTTAGTATGTAAGTGTATTTTTATTTTGGATATCTATTTTCCTTTCTTATCCACCATTCATCTGAGGGTGCGTTAATTTTTGTTAGTAATATTACCCTCCATTCGCCAACCTGATTTTGATGTGTGAATATGCCTATTAGTGCTGCTTCAAATGGTAATAAATCCTAATCCTAATCTGAGAACATTCACTACTGAATGAGCCAGGTTAGTGTATAGAGTTGTCATTCAGTCGTGTCCACTAGTGGAACACTCGTCAGATATACATCCTATACTATACTGTTTTTCATTAGTTTTTAACTCTTAATAGTTTCAAAATAGTTAAAATGGTTGCCTTTTACCGTCTCCTGAAACTCTATGGGATGCATCCTTATGGAGTTGAACTGTGTTCTATTTTCTTTTCAGGAACATGGTTCAGTGTTGAGGCTGCAGTTTCTGAAACACCATCTTCTCCTGGCTTCTACCAACAAATTTGGGATGCTTCTTTATCAGGATGTTACAAAGGGTGATTTAGCTGGGAAATATCGAACTGGTTTAGGACGTACAAATGTGATGGAAGTAAACCCTTACAATTCGGTTGTTTCTTTAGGTCACTCAGCCGGCACAGTTACTATGTGGAAGCCAACTAGTTCTTCTCCTCTTGTCAAGATACTATGTCATCATGGGCCAGTCTCGGCACTGGCATTTCACCCAAATGGCCACATAATGGCCACAGCTGGGAAAGATAAAAAAATTAAACTTTGGGACTTGAGGAAGTATGAGGCTTTTCAAACATTACCAGGCCATGCTAATAGTTTGGAGTTTAGTCAAAAAGGCTTGCTTGCTTGTGGTAACGGTTCATATATCCAGGTTCTTAGGGATGTTTCTGGTGCACAGAACTATTCAAGGTACATGACTCATTCAATGGTAAAGGGTTATCAGATAGGGAAGTTAGCTTTCCGACCATACGAAGATGTTTTAGGCATAGGACATTCGATGGGTTGGTCTAGTATTCTTATTCCAGGAGCAGGAGAACCCAACTTTGATTCATGGGTTGCGAATCCATTCGAAACACCTAAACAGAGAAGAGAAAAGGAAGTAAAGTCTTGTATTGATAAGCTTCATCCTGAGACAATCATGCTAGATCCCAGCAAGATCGGTACTGTGAAATTTACGAAAAAAGAGAAGCCAACTTTGGAAGAGATTGATGCTGACATGGAAGCTGCTGTTGAAGCTGTCAAGGGCAAGAAACTGAAAAAGAAAACAAAAGGAAGAAGTAAGGCAGGTAAAATAATGCCGAAAAAGCAAGATGCAATTGCCACTGCAAAGAGGCCTTACTTGGAGCAGAAAATTCAAGAAGAGAAAAACATATCTAGTAAGAAACAGAAAATTAATGAGGGAGTTGAACTACCAAAATCTTTACAGCGGTTTGCTCATAAGAAACCATCATCATAATTTTAAATTTACCAAGATAAGTCGGCATTTTTGAGGTTTTATTGTCGTGTAAGCTTTTTATTTGTATTTTGTGTTCTCTTTGATATTTGTAGCCCTTGGCCTTAGAAATCGATATTTGTTGCCTTCCAGGTAAGGCATATCCAATTTTTGCCTTTAATTCCCTTATTCATTTTTATTTTCAATATTTATACACATTCTTTAGCTATAAATAACAATTTGAAAACCTAAAAACTTTAGGTAACTCATTTATATATTGTCAAACAAAGAAGATATGTTGTTTAGTACATGTTTAGAGGTCTAACATGCATATTTGGGTGTTTTATACGTTAAGTTTTAGTTTGCAAAACTTATTTTTATAGCAAAGTGGTAAAAAGTAGTTTGTATCAAATTAACTAATTTGTACTTAGGTGCTCAAATTAATTGGTTATTTGGATTATTTGTATCCATTGTTTAATTATTAGTATGGTTTTAATTAAATTGGTGGTTGCAAGGGTGATACTTGTATTCGGAAAGACGAAGCAAGAGACACTTGCACTTCAGAAGTGGACGCTTAGACATCAAATAAATTGCCACCAACCGGTGGTTGCGAGGGTCGAGCCCCTCCCTACAAATAGGTACATGCAAGGACACTATCGTGATTCAGTCGTTCTTAATTGTCAACCATTTTACTTATAATTAAATTAAATAAAGTAGAAAAAATAAAATCCAACCATTTCACTTAAAATTAAATTAAACAAAGTAGAAAAATAAAATCCAACCATTTTACTTATAATTAAATTAAACAAAGTAGAAAAAATAATACCCAGATAAAAAGACATTTGAAATCAAACAATATAAACAAACTACAAAAATGCACTTCCATGAAAAGTCAAATTCATCCAAAATACAAAAAAAAAAAAAAGACATTTGAAATCAAACAATATAAACAAACTACAAAAATGCACTTCCATATCATTGAAAGTCAAATTCATCAAAAATACAAAAATACATTTCTGTATTTTTCTTAAACTTAGAAAACACAAAATTGGTAGAAAAATGCAGGAAACACCAAAATAATCGAAACCAGAAGCCTCAATAAACTATCTAACTATGAGTGCAACTACCTATTTAGTAATGCACCTTAAACAACAAATGTACTGGTTTAATAATACATGAAGAGAAAAAAAAATGAAATTAAAAAAACTTTGTTGAAGTACTTTAAATAGACTTGCGAAGTGATTGATAAAGCACTAATGAACTATTAAAAATTGATTAAGGTTTAAAAAGGATGGAATTGGGGGTATTAGAGAAGTGTCTTGAGAATGTCTGTTGAAAATAAGTGGATCAAAATTCATAGTGGATCAAAATTAAGCTCTTTAATATATTTTTTTTATCTTTTACATTCTTATATTTATATGTCTTTAACTATTGATAAAAGGATTAGGTGATTTTCGATGATCTATTTTTCTTCCCAAATTACTCTCATGTAACTCACTTATTTTTACTTCAATATCATCCATATGTAACTCACCAAATAACTGCAAAGCGCTAAAGACTAGAACCAATATACTGTATACGTTCATTTGTTGGTACTAAAAGTAGGATGAGAATTGAATACCTGACCCTCTTGTGAAAGAAAGTATTTATAGAGAGACTCCAGCGCAGGGCCAACGGTCATTTGGGTTGGGCTGGATGACCAGGCCCAACCCAAGTGACTGCTAGGGGTTACGTGGTGTAGTGAAGACCAGAACATGGTCTTCGCCCTAGTTCAACTGCTCTGTGAACTCCGGAGAGTGGGTTGACCTGCTCTTTCGGAGGTGGGCAGTTGGTTGATGACGTGTCCCTGCGGAGGGGAGCACGTGGAAAACGTGTGAGGCACACGTCTTTCTGCCCGACGGGAGAAGCGTACTGCCCGACGGGAGCCTCGTGCTCGACACAGATGAGGGGGACTCATTTGAGCCTTTCACCAAGTATAGGTGAGCTGGGCCTTCCCGGTCAAGCGGGGGCCCAAGCCAGAACAGGAGCCCCCAAAGTCGTAGCTCCACGGTGAGGGAGCGAGGACTTGATGACATCGTGCTTAGGCGGGAGAGCGTGTCGGGGAAGCTGCTGTCAGGCACCGGTATCAGAGAAATGTTCCTGCCCGACGTGAGTGTGTGGCGAGCATGAAGGTGTTCGGTCCGTCGGGCGTCCATGCCGAGGAAACGCCCCTTGACGTTGTTGTCTGGGAGATATGAGAGGACGCGACTGTCAGCCTTCGCCACGTGTCACACGTTGGACAGTCCATGTGGGGCAGCTACCCTAGGGCATTCAAGTGCCTAGGGACGCTTCGAGTCCCGTGCTGGGGGTATAAGTATGTGAGCCCCTGTCCATTCCATATTTTTTGCTTCTGTTTCCTTTCTCACGTGACGACTGCTTCGTTCGTGCCTGCTCGACATCTCCGTCGCACCAACTGCCGCGCACTCCGCCGTCACCTACAAACCAGTAAGTTCCATCTCCTTGCCTTTTATCGTTTTGTATCTTTGAATTGCCACCGGAGCATGTTGAGTACCCCGAGTACGGAGGTGAATCTCCACCGTTCCGTCCGAGGAGGGATGCAAAAGTCCGCCGCTCTAGGCGGCGTTTTCTAGGAGTAGGGTGAATGCGCCGAGGTCGTGAGAGGGTGAGGTTTTGAATTTCTCGGGGACATATACTAGTTTCAGATGAACGCCCCGGGGACGGGTAGTGGTATTCCACGAGCGCCCCAGGGAGGTAGGTAGGCTTAGAAGTGTTCCTCGGGGAGGTCGAGGAATGTAGGACGAACATCCCGGGGACGCTTTCCCGGATGAGATTTCCCCGTCGTCGAGGTTGTCCCCGTCACCCTTTCACTTGGTATGCTGTGGGAGGATGAATTTGATCACGGACATCGATTTCACCGTTTCCTTCTGCTTTTCAGGTGTTAATGACATCGTTGGTCCCGGGGACTATGCACGTGGACGACGAGCTAGAGGAGCTCACCGTTGAGAATGCAGTCCGGCCAGTCGAGGAGTGGGTGGCTGAGGAACCCCTGACTACCCCTTCGTACTTCCTGGATGGTGAGAATGGCACCTTCGCCACCGTCGAGGATAGGTGTGAGGATGACCCTCAAAATTGGCATGCGTATCTTCCTCGCGAGCATCACCGTATCTGCTTGTCGTTAAGAAAGATGCGCTTCCCTATGTACGAATTTTGTTTTTGGGAAGCTGGGCTCAAGTTTCCGTTCACGAATTTCCAACTGGGGGTCTTCAATTGGTTACGGTTAGCCCCCTCGCAGCTGCACCCTAACACCATAGCCTTTGTCCGTGCATTCGAGATCGTTTGCACCTCTGGAGATCAGGGCGATGCTGCCGCTATTCTTCCGACTTTTTCACCTGCAATGGCAGACAGTGGATGGTCGGCACTGGTGGGTTTCGCTAAAGCAACCGAAGAAACTTTTTCAGACATATATGGATTCTGTCCGGGACTTCAAGGCCCGATTCTTCGTTGTTAAGCCGATATCCCATGGGGCGTGCTCCTCGTTGTACAGGCGAGGGGAGCGAGCAGTGAACGGGTAGCGGGAGGAAGTCTTGATCCCGAAGGTGCCCCTGGAGTGGACTGAGGAGCACTTCGCGAGGGGAACTGATCGATATATCATGCGGGCAAGGAACCTAGGCGAGGATGACCTGGACGGTTATCAGATGATAGTTGGGTTCGTGGTAGGCCTACCTCCGGCGAACCTCGTGACGCCCGACGGTAGATATATCCACGATAGTGAGGGGCGTGTTTGTCAGAAGCCGAGGCTGATCAGCACAAAGGCTCTGCTCGAGTGTTCGACAGAGGAGGAGACCCTTAGTTACCTAGGTGGTGGTAGTCTCCCTCTTCCCCTACCCTCCCAAATATTTATTCTTTTGCTGACATCTTTCTTTTGTTTTGCAGGGAGCATGTCTACTGCCGAGGAGAGGGTGAAGAGGTTGGCTTCGACCAGGGTCGCGGTCAAAGTCGGTAAAACGCGGGTTGCCCAGGTGTCCGGGCAAGCTACTTCTGATCAGGGAGGCAAGGGTTCGTCTTCATCACCCCAGGGGAGCCAATCCCTATCGTCTCAAGGGGCTGCTAAACGGGCCAAGGTTCATCAGCCAGAGGGCCTCGTCGACTTGACGGCAGGGTTCGCTGAGGAGGGCTTCTTAATCCCGCCGTGCTACCAACATCCTGGCTTCTTCCACAGTGCTCGGTTGCCAGCCGTGCCGGTCGGGGAGGCCAAGAAGGTCCTCGGTTTAGACTGGGCAGCTCGGAGGCAGGTTTTGACTGAGGATTTGGCGACCATGATGCGGGTGTTCTTGACGGCTTTGGTCTTGAGCGACGAGAGCTGCTTCTAGACCGAACTAGCTAAGCTGCAGGGTGACCTTACTTTCGCGCAGTCGCGGCTGAACAAATTGACCGAGGAGTTGGCGAAAAGCCAGGAAGATACAGCTGCGGAGCATAAGCGGGGGGAGAGTGCCGAGGAGAAGCTGAAGGCTGCAGAGGCAGAGGTGCAGGCGCTGAAGGTCCGCGTGAGGGAGTTGGAAGGATCTCTCCATCCTGCTGACAACGAGACAGACGAGGACAAGCTCATGGTCACCCGTGCGGATTTGATGAGGAAGATCCGAGAGTTGGAGGGTGATTGCTTGGAGGCGTTCGGGATTGGCTTTTCCAGTGCCGTAGACCAGCTCAAGGTGGTTAACCCTGCGACAACCTGGTCGTGGATGGAGTCGGGCCTTTCCACCAGATCGTCGACGGACGGGTGGTCGATCCTGCCGCTGAAGCTGTCGATGACTCTACCCCAATGGACGAGCATGAGGTGGACGCTGAAGATATGTAGATTTCTTCGGGCCTGTGTGCTCGTGGTTTCTGGGCCTGTGCGCCAATGTTTTGCTATTTTTGTTTAAGTGTTTTTCTTGGGCCTGTGGGCCTTATTTGATATTGTAACTTGACTATTGGGCTGGTGCCCGGCTTTATAAGATGGAATTTTGTTTAAGTGTGCGCTCGTTTTG